GAGCCGAGGGAGGAGGGGGACGCGGCGGCGAGGCGGACGCCGCAGCAGCGGGCGCTCCTCACGGCGCTCGCGCTGCTGCCGCCGCTGGGCTTCGCCCTGTCGGACCCGTCCATCTTCTTCTCGGCGCTCGACAATGCGGGCACCTACGGCATCCTCACGCTCTTCGGCATCATCCCGGCGGCGATGGCGTGGGCGCAGCGCTACGGCGACGGCGACGCGGAGCCGGGCGACGCCGTCGCGCCGGCCGCGCTGCCCGGCGGGCGGGCGACTCTCGTCGCGATGATCGTGGCGGCGGGCGCCGTGGTGAGCGTCGAGACGTGGGAGAGGCTAGCCGCGGCGGGGTGGGCGGGCGCGTAGCGCCGCGGTACACACACTGTGGTGGTGTGAGAGCAGGCCTAGGAGTGTAGCGATTCTTTGCGTATCCGAGACCTCGAGAGAAGACCACCCGAGGTCGCTGTGTCATGTTCATCACGACAGTCTGGCTCGCATGTGCGGCTCACGCCGCCGAGCTCACCGGCATGTCCGACGCAAAAATCGGCGCGCCCACCATCCTGTCGCTCGACAGCCCAGCCACGCGGTGGACGGCGTCGACCGGCGGCGCTTCGCCGCCGGCTGGCTGCGGCTTTACTCGCGTACAGCCCAGCCCGGTTTCAGCGGTGGTGCTCGCGAGCGGCCGAGTCGAGGGCGTGCGGACGCGCGAAGCGTGCTGCGAGCGCTGCTGGGCCGAGGCGCTCTGCGTCTCGTCGCTTCACGACGCCGGTGCGGCGCTCTGCTTGCTGCAGACCTCGCCGGAGAGCGGCGCCGCCACGGTGCTGGCGGCCGAGGTTGACGAGGCGTGGACGCGGTGCGAGCCGAAGCGGGCCGACGGCCCGCCGCTCTCCCTCCAGATCGACGCCTCCGTGCCTGGCGACCTGCTCACCGACCTGCAGCGCGCCGGCGTGATTGGCGACCCGCTCCGCGAGAAGAACTGGCTCAACTCGTCGCTGTGGAGCCACCACACGTGGACGTACACCGCGAGTATCAGCACCGCACAGCTCGGCTCTCGCCTCGGCCGGCCCGGCTCTCGCCTCCTCCTCGTCTTCGACGGAATCAAGATGGGCGCCACGGTCGAGCTCGACGGCGCTCGTCTCGGCGTCGCCGCAGACCAGTTTCGCAAAGGCCCCGAAGAGGGGTCGGGCGCAAGGCCCACTCGCCACAACACCCGCGCGCGCGATCCGTAGGTTCTTGCGGTACTCGTTCGACGTCTCGCCTCTGCGCGCGCTCGGCGCGGCGAGCAGCGGGGTTGGCACGGGGCTCTCCGAGCTCGCCCTAGCGTGGGGCGAGGCCAATGCGAACGCGTGGGCCGACGAGGACGACGAGGAGACCGACTTTTCGCAGCTCGGCGTCCGGGTCGGGGATGCCAGTACAGACGACCTATA